TTGAATGTGTGTGTACATTTTTGAGAAAATTTGTGAACCCTTAGGAATTATATGGATTTCCACATGAATGTCTCCTACAATGTGATCTGATCTGATCTTCATCGAAGTCATAATAAATAGTCTTATTTAACAAAAACACTTTCTCGTCTCCGCCAACCCGTGCAGCAGCTGTTACTCCTCTCAGTGCTTCCTTTCTAAATCTCCTCTTAGTGACTAGCACGCACAAGTACTAAGAGAATTGTCAGTGACTGCAATTACTGTCTTCTGCCTCTCTTCCTACACTGCTGACTCTGCAAAGAAAAACTGCCAAAGGGGGAGTTATTACAGTATGTTTCTCTCAGTTTAATATCTAATATTTAGAAAAACATACTGCAATAACTCCCCCTTTGGAGATAAATGGTGATGCAGTAGTTTGAAATGCTTCTGTGTGCTGCTGAATCTGCTAACTGATTGTGGTGCAACTGGTAACTATTTAATGGGCTTAAGAAATTGTGAAGGTAAAGCATACCCTCTCTGTCGAAACACTCTGAAAATAAATTTATCGGTGAAATGTAATCGGTTTTGGTGATCTCTATTCTTGCTTTACGTAAAGCTTTCCAGACAGTTGCTTCAATGTCAGCAGGATCCCTGAAGAAAGGTGATTTTTTGCAGGGCGCTGACTGGTCTGAGCTCTTAACTATAATGCCAGGTTCAGTTAAAACTAACCTGCTCGAAGCAGGTGAAGAACAGAGGATATGTTGCTACAGTTATTTAGCCAGATGCAATTTAATCCTGCTTTTTTAAAAACCGATTTAGAGACTTTTGTCTGTGTAATAACGAGTAATAGCTTCTCGTTTAATAAATATTAAAAACTGTTCTAATTTATCTAGCAGGATAAACTGCGCAGACCAGCAGTCTTATAGAGTAGTTCAGTACTGCATCAGATTATTCAAAAGAATAAAAACACTGTTAACACCTTGCGTATTCTAGATGGCTGCATCTGTAGCTCATTCTACTTTTCTTAAGGTGCCACATCACTCATTCCACCTACAACTGTGAAAAAGTACCCAACAGGTCTCATCCTTTTGAGCCATTAAAACAGCATGTGTTCCTTTTTTTACCGAAATAACTATGTGGTATTTTGAGCTCTGCTAAAATATAAACATAGAATAATACCAGACGACTGGATAACTGTCTGTCTTCGTACTGCCATTACTATGTACTGAGACAACTATTTTAAAACAAGTCAGTAAAACATTATAATGCTACAACCTCATAAATGTAATCTAAATGAAATACAACTGAAGAAGTAAAGGTTTTCTCCATGCTGAAAAGAGAAGAAGAAAACTTTCTGGCTGTGGAGCTTTCTTCGGGTATCTTCTTTTGTGGTCCCAACTGAAACAATTGTTTATGGGACCATAGAATTTGTTACAGTTCTTATATACAGATTATATACAGTTTAGATTATGTGTATGTATTATGCATTTGTATCTTGATTATCTTGACAGTCTTGCATCAGGTCATACCTGGCCACACTGCACATCAGTTAAGTTTCTACCATTTTAGAGCTTGAAGACCACAATCAACCAGCTGTTAACTTTATGTATTTTATATCTAAACATCTTGCAACATGGTGGTGCCAACTGTTGCTTTTAAGCAGGCATTATATGAAACAAATACATAATACAGAACAATACAATATTCCAAAGAAATAAAAAGGTAGGTACATTATAAAACTCTTCTTGATTTTAAACCAGACTTCACCCCAGCTGAAAGATAGTCACTGCTTCTTCCAATGACTATATACAGTCAACTCAAGAATTATTGGCAACCTTCGTGAAATTGAGCAAAAATTACTGTATAAAATAAACAATACACAATGATTCAAATATTCTGCTCAAATGTTTTTGGAAACTACTTACCTTTGTTCTAATAGGTTATTCTTATTACATCCCTAAAGAATATTTGAAATAAAACCAAACAGTCACCAGGAACTGTATTGCTGCCTTTCACCAGTTTCTGGCATATAATTATGAAGTTGCACACATGTAAAATCCCTTTGTCATCCATCACCATGGTTAAAACCTAGGAGCTTTCAGCTGAAAAAAGACAGATGGTTGTTGACCTACACAAATCAGGTAACAGATATAAAAAAATACAGAAACAGTTGAAAATACCATCAAGCACAGTCAGGGAAATTATCATAAAGTTTCAAAATGCTGGAACAGTTGCAAATTTTCCCAAGAAGAGGACGCATGTGCATAATGCCACCACGCACAGTGAGGAAGATGGTGAGGGAGGCAAAGAAGAATCCAAGGATCACAGTTCAGTGAAATCTTGGGGTAATTGAGTTTCAAAATCAACTGTTAGTTGCCATCTCCATGTCAACAAGCTTTTTGGAAGGGTTGAACAAAAGAAACCCTTACTGAGAGCAACCAATAAAAGACTGCATACAAGGAAAAGCACCTGATACCCACAGTAAAATATGGTGGTGGATCATTGTTGCTTTGGGGCTGTTTTGCTGCTAGTGGCCCAGGCGTTAAGATCGATGGGATCATGAATTCCACTAAGTAAGAGGATATTTTAGCCCAAAACCCAGAAGATTGAGACTTGGCCTTAGATGGACCTTTTAACAAGACAACAATCCCAAACATACATTAAAATCAACACAGAAATGGTTGCGGGAACACAAAATCAATGTTTTGCAATGGCAATCCCAGTCTTCGGATTTGAATCCTATTTAAGAGGGCAGTCCACAAGCAAAAACCTAAGACTATCAAGGATCTTGAAATGTTCTGCATGGTGCAGTGGTTCAAGATTCCTCCAAAAGTGTGCTCCAACTTTGTCACACACTTTACAGGAACAGGCTCGGTATTGTTATCCTCTTCGGGGGAGGCTTCACCTCTATTGATTGTAGAGGTGCCAATAATTTAGAAACCTATGTTCTGTAGAAAAAAATTGTACTACTCAATAAAATGTTTTCTGTTTGAAAATGTATTGCGAAGAACATGGCTTCCCCATATGTTTGAGCCCATAATATGACTCATTGTATGTCTTTTATTTTATATTTTGCTCAATTTCATGAAGGGTGCCAATAATTCTTGTGTTGACTGTATACATGTTTCAGTTGGGGTGAAGTCTGACTTAAAATCAAGAAGAGTTTTACAATGAGTAAAAGATCTTAGCAGCTTAATATCTCGGAAATCAAAGAAGCAAGAATGTTGGTTTCAATTCTAAATGAGCTGGGAGTCCCTGTTTGTCCAGTTTGTAGGGAAGCAACTTCAGAGGTTGAGTAGCATCACTCTCCCAAAAAAGAATCCCTAATATCTCAGAATCCAAAACAGCACAAATGCAGCTTTGCAGCGCTTATCAACAATACAGATTTGGTTCTCTTAAGCCAATATTACTACCTGAAATTAATGCATTATATCTTAGAGAAGAATGCACCATAAACACTGTATTTAATGGCACAAATGTAGCACATATGTACTAAGGATGCTCCGTTTGATCTACCATCGGATGATTTTCACTCCAAATGACTCAATCAGTCAATTGACCAATCTCAAAAACTGATTTTGCACTGACTAAATTTCCGACGTTACCACACATCTACAAAAGACAAAAAAATTGCAGTTTGCAATACATGTGCAAAAGAAGTCGCTCGTGGGGGATCATCAGCTAAAATGTGCAACACCAGAAACTTTATGAGATATTTGAAAAGTCAACACCAAAAAGAATATGCAGAGTATGAAAAATTAGCATGTGCAAAAGCTGCGCCAACTAGCAAGCCAACTCTCGCTCAGCCATCAATAACAGCAACACTTTAAAAAAAACGAGCCTTACAGTAGGAAATTGAAAGTACTACAGACAGGATCTTTGCAAGCGATGTATGAGGAAATTCTAAATGAAGATAAAAGGGACGGCTAGGATAGGAATGACTCAACAGCGTCGGAGGTAACCTCTACCTCAGTGAGCAACTCATCTTAGGAAGCGCAGAGCCAATGGCCTTTTGGAAGTGCAATAAAAGCCGTTTCAGCAGCTTGGGTCTACTTTACACTCCCTGTATGAGTGTGGACAGCAACCGTCTATTCAGTACAGCAGCACACATTTTGGATGAGAAGAGGAACAGATTGTCTTCAAAACATGCAGAGACGCTCATATTCATAAACAAGAATCTGCCCTCGATGATTAGTAAACAATAGGCTTAGTAGGTAAAGAGTTACATTAGGCTGACTTGTTTCCTTTTGGTTGTAGTAGGCTGCTATGTCTTGTTATGCATCTTATTGAACATCTTATTAGAATTGTGGGTTCTGATGAAGACAAGCCTTTTATTTTGTTTTAGCTTGTTTTTTGTTATTGCTATAAATATGCCATATGTATATCTAATATGTATACATGTTTTGTGTACGTGTTTTATTAGTAAAGTGTCTTTATTTTAACCGATTATTTTATTTATTTTAGTAAGAAGTGTTTTTTTTATTGTAGTTCAACAATAAACCCACTACATTTCATTTTGTTAATAACACCTGTGGTCTACAGTTTATTTTAATGGGAAAAATAACATGGGTATGAGGCTTGTACATGGCTGGTTAAGTAGGAGCTTAATGAAATGTTTTTTAAAAGAAAGAAATAGGTATCGGCTGATTCTAATGACATGGAATCGGTGATCAGTACCGGCTCTTAAAAGCCTGATCGGAGCATCCCTACTATGCTTATCCCTACTATATATGAAGTTTCAGTCTAATCTTACCCTGGAGCTTACCCTTGAAAACTGAACCACTTATTATAATTTCTAAAAATAACATACAATCACATTTTAAAAAGTAATTACAGAAGACATTGAACATTGAAAAGTTATCATTGGTCTATGGCTTTCTCCTTGATTTTTAATTCGAATACAAAAATGAGCTGAACAGAGTATGTATTTTGTATAAACTGAAATCAATATTAAACTAAATTAGAAATTACTACTATGAACAACTTTAAAACTTTAAAAAACAGTTGTACAAAGGATAACATACCTGCATATATCAATTTTTGTCCAGCTACTGGAAAACCATCTTTTCCCTTCTCATTTTCAATTTTTTCCTTTAGGGCTTTTACCTAGGTAAAAAAAACGTTACGAATGAAAAGTTTAACAAACCTGGTTCCAAACTCAAAGTATGACTAGACAAACAGCACATGTAATGAATGCATTTAATAGGATACGATTTTTTGGTGCAACACTGGTTCAAAGTATCACTCTAAGGTTTAAAAAAAATCTTCAATGGATCTGGTAGACCTTCACATGCTAATTGTTTAATATGTTTGCATACTCCAAAATGTTCTAAAAAACTAAATGCCTGGTAAGTGCCACGGTAATCTGGTACCAATTCCAGGTAAAAACCTATCTTGGGAGCATAGGATACAAGTCATGGCACACACTATACACACTCACAGGGACAAATCAGATATACCAATTAACCTGGCCAGCATGTCTTTGAAAGGTAGGAATAATCCAGAACATCTAGCAAAACCTACTCAACCTTGGGAAGAACATACAAATGTTACAATGAAAGTGTCCCATGTTAGTATCAAAAACAGCAGTACTAAGTGCAAAACTATGTGTAATGTACTTATACTTAACACAATCTACTTACATGCTTCTTTAAATGCTCGGTAATGAACCTACTACTCTTATTAAAATCTCACCTAAGCAATCAATGAACCTGCCTACTTTGAAGTGTTGCTGAATAGTCCCAACTCAAGTCAGTTTACAAGCACAGCAAAATAAGAACTTCAAGAACTAATTTAAGTAATAATGACAGCACACAATTCCCACACATCAGGTAAAATAGACAGGACCCTCTCATGTACTGGGACAGCAAATTGAGAAATTATCGTTGCTTAACAGTGAATCAATTTGCATTTAAAATCTTGAGATTAAAATATAAAAGTACAATGCAATATTAAAATAGTACAATTGAAAATACATTATACATTCTGAAATTAAGTATTTTGTTGCAAATCCCTTACAGACAATAGATGGTTTCCTCACTATCTACACAATATGTACTTAAGGCTCTGTTAATGAAAAAAGAGTGCATTTTGAGGGCTTGGTTATGTAACCGTCCTTATTGTTACTGCAAAGTTCTTGGAGCTTGAGGTACTTTGAAAAAGGGAGATACTCTCATAAGGCTGTCGAGAAAAGCTGAGATGGGACAGTTGCATGCTGAGAAGATGGGGTGTAAACCCGACACCCCTGGATGCCGCTTCTCAGCATGCAACTGTCCCAACACTCACATCTCAGCTTTTCTGAACAGCTGCCAACTTATGTGAAAACTTGCTGATTCAACTCTTATGTTATTTAGAAGCGGTTACACTCCAGTCTGGGTCCCAATCCTATTCTTTTCTCTTCTTGTTGTGTGAAACTGATCAGCAGGTCTTTTTTTCCCCAATCAGAAGCTCTGAAAATAGCATACCGCCCACTGCACTCCGTCAGAGAGGGGCGAGGCACCGAGAGAGGGAGGAGGCGCGGAGCTCAGCAGTACAGAACGAACGTTCTGTTGCCTGGAGCACTTGTGGCAGCAATCGCCTCTGCATTTATAACTTTTAAAATTAATCAAGCAATATGAAGCATCTCTTTTTACTTCTAAGTCCTTTACTTATCATTAAACAAACAGCTGTTTCAACAAATTAGACGTATCATTTTATAACTGTTAAAACAACATCTTATTGTACTTCCTAATTATATTACACGTGGAAAATAATACATTTTTAATAATCTTTAATGATTTATACATTTTGGAAAGGTTTCATCTATACAAAACAGTGTTATTATATGTATAATTTATACTAATTGTCATACACAATATAAGGTATGAATGACAAATATAGAAATATTAAAATTGTGCTGGAATTAGTTTTTGCACTTTTTTCTGTCTTTTAAAACGTAATCATTTACAAGACTTTGGTCAAATGTGCATTTGATCTGACAAAATAAAAATATGAAAGTAAACAAAAAAGTAAATAATGAAATATAAACTATAACTGAACAGCAAACATATTCAAAGAAGAACATGTAAATGTTAAAAATTATAACTAACGAGTAACTATATACAGTGCTGGAAACCAGCTCTCAGAAGGCACGGGAAAGTTACATCAGCAGTTATATATAGAGGATTAATTTAATATTGCTGGCTCCAGGGATCAGCCTTTTGACCTCCCTGGCGCATCAGCATCCATAATCTGCATGTTTTCAAATTAATTTACTTCCCAGGTACCTACAAATACAGATATCTTAAGATGCTGGCTCCAGGGATCAACTTTTCACCAGCCTCCCTTGCACATTAGCATCAGCTACAAGATGTTTTCCTATTCGTATTCCTCAAAATTATCTGTATCTGACACACAGTGTAACATTAGCAATAGCCTGGAATTTAAGAAACCTAAGCAACAATCCTCACCTCATTATTCATGTAATCATCTAACAATGGATACTCAATTATGCCACTAACTTCATCATCGCCCTCCTCTACATAATCCACAACAAACAAGTCTCCTGTTCTATTCACATTTACTACCCTGCCTGGCCACCAACATTCACTCCCATCTTCACTACTCACAAACACGTGCTCTACTTTCTTGCCTACAAACTCCTCTGCACTAAGCAATTCTAAATAACTATCCATATAATCTTTCCACAAAGCAAACCACCACATTTTTCTAAATCCATCATATTTTATTTTAAAAATATACTCCTGGCCACCTAGTCTAATTTCAGCAACTGTGCCCTTGTACCACACCTTCCTACCTTTCTCATCAAAAGCATGTCTAACTCTCTTTCCTAACAAGTGTTCTGGTTTAATTAACATAGAAATTCTTAATCCTTCCATACCAACCTTTTTTCACCTAGATCTCCAGCCTTAAAATGCTGCTTAACAGCCTCCTTTAATAACTCTGCCTTTTCTTCAACAATACGTTCTGATGGTGCCAAACAATCTTTGTCTTCTCTAGATGTAGCTGGGATTTCCTCTGGCCTCCAGACAACACTTTTTAAGTTAACAATCACCTGTTCTAGACTAAGCCTTTTCCTGTCCTTTGAAAAATTGAAAACTCTATTTTCATTTTTCATTCCTATCACAAATCTCCTAAACTTCAACTGTGCTGTAACTGCAGGAAGCTTCTTGTCCTCATCTAAATTCCTCAGTTGCGCATCTATTTCTGCCTGGCTGTTACCTGTCTGCAACCTGGCATCTCTTATCCTAGCCATCCTCTCACAAAACACACCCCTCTGCTCTTTAACTGATTCTCTAGCTTGAGATAAAACTTCTGTCTTCTTTTCAGAATCCAGTTTTTCAAGCCACTGCCAAGACCTGTTCTCCTTGAACATAATCATACCCTCGACAGCTAATGCTGTTGCTCTGGCCTTAATTTACTTAAAGTTATCAAAGATTCCAAAATCACTCTCACAGGTTGATTCAAGCTTCAGAAATCAAAAAATGTCCTTCTCAGAACATGCTGCATCTGAATCCTTGATCTTGCACCATCTCTCTAACTGTGTCAAATATGCACTGAGCTGAACCCGATGCCTGCTCTCCGAGTCCTAAATGCATTACTATCCTGGAAAGAAATCCCTGCAGTTCCATATCTATGACCATATTCAGTGGTCCATCTGTGGCAAGGGTTAAATTACTTTCTTGCAACAGTTTTTCTTTCAGATGTTGCAAAGAAACTTGCCTTGCTTCTAACACAAGATTTTTTACAAAAACTTTCCCCTGGTAATCTATCTACATGAATACCTACCAATTTATCAAAAACTGGTCTGACTATCTGAGAAGCCTTTCATGCACTAACGCCCATGTTTGCTACTAAATCCATATAAGCCTCTCTTACAGCATTACTATACTTGCCCTTTTCATACATGCTAACATTGTGACTCACTAGCCTGTCTATCTCTGTTTTCAAGCCTTCATATTCTCCCTGCCAGAACTGTACCTCCTCATTCAGGTCCCTCACCCTATGTGCTAAATCTGCTTCAGAATCACATTTCCTTTTATAATACACAACCTTCTGTGATTCCTTTTTTTTTTGTATATCTAAGCTTTTCCAACTGTTCTTGCAATTCATCAATACTCTTCTCTAGCTGTGCCTTTTCCTTTTCTGACTCACTTTTCTCCTGTTAATTCAAAATGACTACCTGCTCACACTCCACAACTTTTTGCTGTCCAAATTTTACTATCCCTGAATCTAAGCCACATTCCTAACACTTCCATGTCCTAACTTTTCATTTGCCTTGCTTAATTTATTTGAGAGCTTGAATTTCATTTTTAGCCTTATAAAGCCTCTCTCTTTTTTCTTGTCTAACCTAGCTCTTTCATCATCCAGCTTCCTGCATTCTTCCATTAACCTATGCACATTTTAAAACTGTGCTCCTAATTCACTAACTACCTCATTAGTGCACTTTACATAATTTAATTCACTCGTTCCAGATCTTACATCACAAGCTGAGCTAGTGCTAGCTGTTTGCTGTGCATCTTCTGCAGCTGAAATTTCACTGCTCTCCTTTCTTACAAGGGGCAGAGCAAAGATCTGGCGGTCAAAATCTTCCCTTTCACTTTTTCTTAAGGGGGATTTCTTATTGATGATCCTCTGTACATACAAACTAATAACTCGCTGAAAATATTCATTTCTTAAACCTAGGTCGAAATTATGATTTAAGATATCAAAAAGCATCTGTTTCCTATTTGATTTTTTGGCTCCGGAAAATTTGTAGATCTCCATCATCGCTCTGTTCGTCAAGATTTTAACATCTAGTTTTTGTATTCGTTCAAATTTTAACTCTACATCTATCCCCAATTCCTCGAAGTAGCTACTGATGTATTACTTCCCCTTACCACCAGGGCACACAAGCGTTTTCTCTGGATTCATTTTTTTTTATTTCTCGGGGTCTCTCTCATTCGCTGCGGCTCGGCACAAGAACAGTTAAAGATGGCGTCAACTCAGGCACCCAGAGGGAGGCGGGGGGGCGTCTTCCCGCCTCCATAACTAAAATGCCAAATAGGATTGGCTTAAGCGACATACACAGTCGTGTAACTGACAGTTTGAGGTAGCCTATCGTGTAG